AGGTTCAAGTGATTCTCGTGCCTCAGCCTCTCCAGTAGGTGGGACTACAGGACATGCCACTACACCCGGCTAATTTTTATTTTATTTATTTATTTATTTGAGACGGAGTCTTGCTGTGTCGCCCAGGCTGGAGGGCAGTCTCGTGATCTTCGCTCACTGCAAGCTCCGCCTCCTGGGTTCACGCCATTCTCCTGCCTCAGCCTCCCCAGCAGCTGGGACTACAGGCGCCCGCCACCATGCCTGGCTAATTCTTTGTATTTTTAGTAGAGACAGGGTTTCACCATGTTAGCCAGGATGGTCTCGATCTCCTGACCTCGTGATCCACCCGCCTTGGCCTCCCAAAGTGCTGGGATTACAGGTGTGAGCCACCACGCCCAGCCTAATTTTTACATTTTTAGTAGAGAAGGGGTTTCACCATGTTGGCCAGGTGGGTCTCGAACTCCTGACCTCAAGTGATCCACCCACTTCAGCCTCCCAAAGCGCAGCAATTACAGGGGTGAGCCACTGTGCCCAGTCATGCTGTTCTGATAGTGAGTTATTACAAGATCTGATGGCTGAAAAGTGGCTGTTTCTCCTGCCAGCTTGTGAAGAAGGTGTCTTGCTTCCCCTTGTGCCATGATTGTTTCCTGAGGCCTCCCCAGGCAGGCAGAACTGTGAGTCAATTAAACCTCTCTTGTTTATAAATTACCTAGTCTCAGATAGTATATTTATAGCAGTGTGAAAACGGACTAATGCAAGTATATAAGAAAGTGAAACCCCCCATAATCCCATACCACAGAAACGTGATTGCTAATAGTTTGGTATCTATTCTTCCAATATTTTCCCTTTCACTAATGTGTATATAAGCAATAAATGTTATATAACCTATATATAATAAAACTAATGTATAAATATACATACGTATATGCTATCCCAAAAGTGTTTACTGATTTATACAATTACATATATTTATTTAAATAATTATTACATATAGATATGTGGTTCTATAATGCACACTATTCTGGAGGGCCGAGAGTGAGGCAACAGGAGAGAGACTAAGATGTACTATTTAAGGAGGCACTCACTCACAGGGACTGACTCTGCACTTGTACCACCCTGATTGTGAGTGTCACCTTAAGCACTGTACCGTAGGCCAAGGCCTTGCCACACCTTAGTCCCAGTCCTGCCAGCAACTGGCTTTTTATTTTTCCCACTCAAATCTTGAAAATCTTTCCATGTAGATCTATCTCTTCAGTGGCATTATAATCTTCCACTTTATGACTAGATCATAACTTACTGATCCAATCATTTTTGAAGGACATTTATTTCCAGTTTTCTGATGAACATCCTTGTGTATATATCTGTGCTTTTACTAGAATTTTGGTATGCCAAATTTCTTTCTTTTTTTTTTTTTAGACAGAGTCTCGCTATGTCACCAGGCTGCAGTGCAGTGACCTGATCTCAGCTCACTGCAACCTCCACCTCCCGGTTCAAGTGATTCTCCTGCCTCATCCTCCCGAGTAGCTGGGACTACAGGCACGCACCACCATGCCCAGCTAATTTTTGTATTTTTAGTAGAGACGGGGTTTCACCATGTTGGTCAGGATGGTCTTGATCTCTTGACCACATGATCCACCTGCCTCGGCCTCCCAAAGTGTTGGGATTGCAGGTGTGAGCCACTGCGCCCAGCCCGTACTTTCTTTTTATAACAGAAGTCACTTTGTCCTTAAAAATATTTCTACTAATTTACATTACCATCAAAAGTGTCTTTTTCTTAACTCTCTGACCAATACTGAGTATTATAAAATGTTTAAAGCTTCGGCAGTTAGTAGGTAAAAATAATTGTTTATTTTGGTTTTATTTTATTTTTATTTATTTTTTTTTGAGACAGAGTCTCGCTCTGTCGCCCAGGCTGGAATGCACTGGTGCAATCTCAGCTCACTGCAGCCTCCACCTCCTGGGTTCAGGCAATTCTCCTGCCTCAGTCTCCCGAGTAACTGGGATTATAGGCATGCACCGCCACACCTGGCAAATTTTTGTATTTTTTGTAGAGACGAAGTTTCACCATGTTGGCCAGGCCGGTCAGGAACTCCTGACCTCAGGTGATCCACCCACCTCAGCCTCCAAACGTGCCGGGATTACAGGTGTGAGCCACTGAACCTGGCCTGTTTTGGTTTTAATTTGCATTTTTAAAGTGATATAGGGGCATTTCTCTCTCTTAAACATTTGTAGGAGCCAGGCATGGTGGTGAGCCTGCAGTCTAGAGGATCCCTTGAGACCAGGAGTGAGAGGCTGTGTTTTTATGGAGTCCAACATATCAGTCTTTTATGGCTTCTCGGTTATGTGTTCGGAGAGCCCTTCTTCATTCAAAACAATTGTTATGACAGCTTTATTGAGATATAATTCATATTTCATAAGATTCGCCTTTTTGAAGTACACATTTCAGTGGTTTTTATATAATCTGTAATTCAACTTTCACCACTACTTAATTTTAGAACACTTCATTACTGCAAAAAGGAACCCCTTACCCATTAGCAATCACTCCCCAGTGCCCCCTCCCTCTAGCCCCTGATAATCATCAACCTACTTCTGTCTCTATGGATTTGCCTACCCTGGACATTTTATATAGATGGAATTACACAATATATGGCTGCTTGTGATTGGCTTCTCTCACTTCGCATGTTTCAAGGTTCATCCATGTTGTGGCATGTATCTATACTTAATTCTCTTTTCTTTTCTTTTTTTTTTTTTTTTTTTGAGACTGAGTCTCACTCTGTGAGTCTCACTCCAAGCTGGAGTACAGTGGTACAATCTCGGTTCACTGCAACCTCCACCTCCCGGGTTCAAGTGATTCTCCTGCCTCAGCCTCCCATGTATCTGGGATTACAGTCGCCTGCCACCACGCCCAGCTAATTTTTGTATTTTTAGTAGAGACGAGGTTTCACTATGTTGGCCAGGCTGGTCTTGAACTCCTGACCTTGTGATCCACCCACCTCGGCCTCCCAAAGTGCTGGGATTACAGGCGTGAGCCACCGTGCCCAGCCACTTAGTTCTTTTTTATGATTGAATAATATTGTTTATCCACCTGTTCATTGATGGACAATTTTTTTTTCCAGCTTTTTAGCTATTACAAATACTGTTGCTATAAACATTTGTATATTAGTTTTTATTTGAACACCTGTTTTTAGTTCTTTAGGGCGTATACCTAGAAGCAGTATTGTTGGCTCATTTGGTAATTCTGTTTGACATTTTAAGGAACTTCCTGTTTTCCGAAGGAGCCGTACCATTTTACAATTTCACCAGCAATATATAACAGTTCCAATTTCTCCACATCCTTCTCAATACTTCTTATTGTCTATCACTTTTATTTTAGCCACCCTAGTGGGTATGAATGGGGATCTTACTGTGGCTTTGATTTACATGTCCCTAATGGTTAATGATGTTAAGGATCATTTCATGTGCTTATTGGCCATTTGTGTATCTTCTTTGGAGAAATGTTATTTCTTTATTGGTTGCGCGTGGTGGCTCACACCTGTAATCCCAGCACTTTGGGAGGCCAAGGCAGGCAGATAACTTGAGGTCAGGTGTTCAAGACCAGCCTGGCCAACATGCGGAAACCTCATCTCTACTAAAATGCAAAAATTAACCGGGCGTGGTGGTGCATGCCTGTAGTCCCAGCTACTTGGGAGGCTGAGGCAGGAGAATCACTTGAACCCCAGAGGTAGAGGTTGCAGCAGTGAGCCAAGATCGTGCCACTTCACTCCAGCCTGGGTGACACAGCGAGACTTCATTTCAAACAAACAAACATATAACTTAACACTGTTGTCATTAAATAATTAACTGTGATTAGATTATAATGAACATAACAGGCACTCAAATACTTGTTTAATAAAAAAAGAATGAATTGAAGGAAAATAAAGCAGAGAGACTTTTTTTGGCAGCTGCTTACCAAAAAAACCAAAGTGAGAACCGATAAAGGTCTGAGCTAAGGCTGAAAGGATGGATTCTCAGATATTTGGGGAGTAGAATCTACTCCTCTTGCATTATTAAAACTTTTAGGTCAACTTTGTCCAATGCACAATGCCCTCAAGACCAAAGCAGCTCCCTCATTCACAGTGATAAATTTTTATGTTCCAGGTATTGTTCTAAGTACTTTGCATGTATAACTCATTTAATACTCACAGCAACTTTTCAATCCATGCTGTTGGCCAGAACTAAATCACATGGGGTTTCTATGGCCAAAGAAGGGGAGAGTAGATATTTGGACTACCAGACTCAACTACAGGCTAGCAGCCTTGTGTTTCCTGTGTGTCTTAGTCTTTGCTCTTACTTTGGAAATTAAGCTCGGCCGGGTGCGGTGGCTCAAGCCTGTAATCCCAGCACTTTGGGAGGCCGAGACGGGCGGATCACGAGGTCAGGAGATCGAGACCATCCTGGCTGACACGGTGAAACCCCGTCTCTACTAAAAAATACAAAAAACTAGCCGGGCAAGGTGGCGGGCACCTGTAGTCCCAGCTACTTGGGAGGCTGAGGCAGGAGAATGGTGTAAACCCAGGAGGCGGAGCTCACAGTGAGCTGAGATCCGGCCACTGCACTCCAGCCTGGGCGACAGAGCGAGACTCCGTCTCAAAAAAAAAAAAAAAAAGAAAGAAAGAAATTAAGCTCAAAGTTAGCTGGAAAGCAATTTCAGGGAAAAAGGGCCAAACGTATTGTATAGGCGGCTGACTAAACATCAGGTAAAGTCAATGAGCCTGGTGTGTGTGTATAAGCAAGCATGTGATGAGGAGAGTAATATATACTTGGTTTTCTAGTTACCATTGTTGCTCAACAAACTATCCCAAATCTTTGTGTCTTAAAATAATAATCCATGTATTTTGCTCACAAATCTGTAATTGGAGGAGGGCTCAGTAGGGATGGCTTATCTATGCTCTAGGGTATCTAGAGACTCAACTAGGAAGACTTCAGGGCTGAGGGTGACTTGGCAGCTGGGACTGGAATTGTCTGAAGGCTTGTTTACTCACATGTGTGATGGTCGATGCTGCCCCTCAGACTGGACCTTAGTTTGTGCTGTCATGTGGCTTTTCCGTGGAGTTGCTTGGATTTCCTCTCATCATAATGGCTAAGTTCTGAAAGTGAGCATGCCGAGAGGCCAAGTTGGAAGCTGCATGACATTTTCATAATCTAGCCTTGCAACACATGTAGAGTCATGATGCAGTCACAAAGACCCTCCAAGTTCAAGGAAAGGAGACAAAGACCACCACTCAATGAGCAGTTTCAAAAAACTGGGGAATATGTTTTAAAATCACCAAAACTTAGTGTATGCATATACACAGCAGCCTCAAAGCCCTTTTTTGGCCCTCTATTAATGGTTCAGTACAGAAAAATGGTCTCCAGAGTGTGGTAGCCACTATGAAGTCTGGATTCTTAGGTGTCCTAGCCAGACTAGCTGTAGCAGCATGGCATTGAACTTTCCCAACTAACTGTAAAAGTTGCTTCAACTGAGCCTTCACAAAAACTCAGTTGCGGTAACACAGATAAATGATTAAGTATATGGGCCCTGAAGTTAGATCACCTGAATTAAAGTCTCAGTTCTGTCATTTTCTAGTTTTGTGACCTTGAAAAAGTCAGTTAGCCTGTTTTTAAGTTTTGGGTTTTTGTTTTTGTTGTTTTGGAGACACGTTCTTGCCCTGTTGTCTCAGCTGGAGTGCAGTGGCATGATCATCACTCACTGCTGTCTCAACCTCCCAGACTCAAGCATCCCAAGTAGCTGGGACTCCAGGTGTGTGACACCATGTCTGGCTAATTTTTAATTTTTTTTTTTTTTTGGTAGAAAGAACGTCTTACTACATTGCCTAGGCCAGTCTCAAACTCTTGGGCTCAAGCGGTCCTCCCATCTCAGCCTCTGAACCACCATGCCCTGCTGCTTTAAGTTCTTTATATGAAAAGTAGAGAGAATGGAGGCCGGGCGCGGTGGTTCATGCCTGTAATCCCAGCACTTTGGGAGGTCAAGGCGGGCGAATCACGAGGTCAGGAAATCGAGACCATCCTGGCTAAGGGTGAAACCCCGTCTCTACTAAACATACAAAAAAATTAGCCGGGTGTGGTGGCAGGCGCCTGTAGTCCCAGCTACTCGGGAGGCTGAGGCAGGAGAATGGCATCAACCCGGGAGGCAGAGCTTGCAGTGAGCCTAGATCGCGCCACTGCGCTCCAGCCTGGGCGACAGAACAAGATGCCATCTCAAACAAAAAAAAAAAAAAAGAAAAAAAGAAAAAAGTAAAGATAATGGGTCGGGCGCAGTGGCTCATGCCTGTAATCTCAGCTCTTTGGGAGGCTGAGGTGGGCGGATCACAAGGTCAGGAGTTTTGAGACCAGCCTGACCAACATGGTGAAATCCCATCTCTACTAAAAATACAAAATTGGCCAGGCGTGGTGGCAGGCACCTGTAATCCCAGCTACTTAGGAGGCTGAGGCAGAGAATCACTTGAACCCTGGAAGCGGAGGTTGCAGTGAGCTGAGATCACGCCATTGTGAGAGGTGACAGCATGCTGGCAGCCCTCGCTCGCTCTGGGCGCCTCCTCAACCCCGTCGCCCACTCTGGCCGCGCTTGAGGAGCCCTTCAGCCTGCCGCTGCACTGTGGGAGCCTCTCTCCGGGCTGGCCGAGGCTGAAGCCAGCTCCCTCTGCTTGCGGTGAGGTGTGGAGGGAGAGGTGCAGGCGGTAACCGAGGCTGCGCAAGGCGCCGGCGGACCAGCGTGAGTTCCGGGTGGGCGCGGGCTGGCGGGCCCGCACTCAGAGCAGCCGGGGGACGCTGCGCTGCGGGCCCCGGTCAGTAAGGGGCTTAGCACCAGGGCCAGCAGCTGCGGAGGGTGCGCCGCGTCCCACAGGAGTGCCGGCCCTCCCGCGCAGCCTGCCGCTGCCCGAGGGCCCCCCACCCCCGCGCCGCCACCCCTACCTGTGGGTTCCCGCGAGGCCTGACCCTCCTCCAAGGGCGCCGGCCGCAGCTCCCTGGTGCCCGCTCCCATCCACCGCTCAAGGACTGAGAAGTGCAGGCCCACAGGTGGCGGGCAGCTCCATCTGCGGCCCTGCGTGGGAGCCACTAGGTGAAGCAAGCCGCGCTCCTTAGTGGGGACTTGGAGAACCTTTATGTCTAGCTAAGGGATTGTGAATACACCAATCAGCACCCTGTGTCTAGTTCAAGGTTCGTAAATACACCTCTCAGTACTCTGTATCTAGCTAATCTAGCCGGGACTTGGAGAACTTTTCTGTCTAGCACTCTGTGTCTAGCTAAAGGATTGTAAATGCACCAATCAGCACTCTGTGTCTAACTCAGGGATTGTAAATGCACCACTCAGCACTCTGTCAAAAATGGACCAATCAACTCTCTGTAAAATAGACCAATCAGCTCTCTGTAAGATAGGCCAATCAGCTCTCTGTAAAATGGACCAATCAGCAGGATGTGGGTGGAGTCAAATAAGGGAATAAAAGCAGGCTGCCTGCGTTTCCTTTAACAATGGGCTTTGATTTCCGTTTATAGCATGGAGTGCTTGTTGTTGCGGTTTTTGTACTATAGTTTGTTGTTGCTCGGTGTTTGGGTTCATGCCACATTTGTGGGCTGTAACACTCACTCTGAGGGTCTGTAATTTCACTTCTGAGGCCAGCGAAACCATGAACCCACTGGGAGGAACGAGCACCTCCGGAGACGCTGCTTTAAGACTTGTAAAACTCACCGCGAAGGTCTGCAGCCTCACTCGTAAAGACAGTGTAGACCGTGAACCCACCACAAAGAAGAAACTCAACATGTCTGACTATCAGAAGGAGCAAACTCCAGACACACCATCTTTAAGAACTGTAACAGTCATCGTGAGGGTATGTGGTTTCATTCTTGAAGTCAGTGAGACCAAGAACCCACCAATTCTGGACACAATTGCCCTGCAATCTGGGCAACAAGAGTGAGACTGCATCTCAAACGGAAAAAAAAAAAAAAAAAAAAAGCTGGGTGTGATGGTGGGCGCCTATAATTCCAGCTACTCAGGTGTCTGAGGCACAAGAATCGTTCGAACCCGGGAGATGGAAGTTGCGGTAAGCTGAAATTGTGCCTTTGCGCTTCAGCTTGGGCAACAGAGTGAGACTATCTCAAAAAAAACAAAACAAAACAAAAAACTAAGGCGAGCTCGGAGGACAAACCTCCCGTGGAGCAGAATAGCAAAAGCCCGTTTGATCTTGATTTTCAGTATGAATACGTACGGTCTGTGAAAGCAGTGTCTCACAAAAAAAAAAAGAGATAAATATTGTCTTCCTCATGGGCTTATGATAAAGGTTAAATTAATACATGTAAAACGTTTAGAAGAATGCTTGGCATGTAGAATTACTGAATAGATGTTAGTCATTATCATCAAGGCTTCTCACTTGGAGTGTATAGAGGAACTTTTGAATGCTCTAAAAATATTTTAAATACGTTGAACAGATACGTTAAATATCCATCATCATTATTTTAAAATAGTCTGGCCTGGGCTGGAAGGGAACACACCAATAAATATTAGAGTTATCGTGAAGTATTTGTTCATGGGTTATTTAAAATTTTATACTTTAAATTTTCTGTACTTTCCAAATGTTTGGTAATCTCCAATCTTCAGTAGTCAGAAGTTTTAAATATTTTAAGGACAGAAAAAAGAAATCTCAGATATTGAGACACTTTAAAAAGACTACATCAGAGAAAATGAATCAAATATCATCATACTTCTCCACGTTAACACCAAGTGCCAAAATATGGCGAAGTAACATCTGCGAAGTTTGAGGGAAAATCATTGTGACCTAAGAATCCTATATCCAGTTAAGCTGTACTTCTCATGCAGTCCCATAGAAAGTACTGTCACACCTTCGTGCATTCAAGGACTCAAAGTATAGTACACATGTACACTTTATAGAAAAATATTATTCAGAGAAGTACTCCAGCAGACCTCCTAATTTGGAGGTTAAGTTAAATAATTTTTTAACTTAAAAGATGCTTGAAGTGAGTCGTAGTGGCTCATGCCTGTAATAATGCCAGCACTTTGGGAGGCTGAGGTGGGAGGATAACTTGAGGCCAGTAATTCAAGGCTGCAGTGAGCTATGATCATGCCACTGCATTCTGGCCTGAGTGACAGAGTGAGACCCTGTCTGTAATAAAGCAAACAAAAAACGTTTGAACAGGAAAAGCTATAATAAAATAAATGGAAGTAAACAACGATCAATGCCAGGCATGGTGGTGGCTCAGGCCTGTAAGCCCAACGCTTTGGGAAACCACGGCAGGAGGATCACTTGAGTCCAGGAGTTCCAGACCAGCCTAAGCAGCACAGCAAAAACCTCTACCAAAAAAATAAAAATAAAAACCAGCCCGGGCACGGTGGCTCATCCCTGTAATCCCAGCACTTTTGGAGACCGAGGTGGGTTGATCACCTTAGGTCAAGAGACCAAGACCACCCTGGCCAACATGGTGAAACCCTGTCTCTACTAAAATACAAAAAATTAGCCGGGCATGGTGGTGCATGCCAGTAGTCCCAGCTATTTGGGAGTCTGAGGCAGGAGAATTGCTTGAACCCGGGAGGCAGAGGTTGCAGTAAGCCGAGATTGTGCCCCTGCACTCCAGCCTGGCAACAGAACGAGACTCTGTCTCAAAAAAAAAAAAAAAAAAAAAAAAAAAAAAAAAAAAAATTAGCCAGGCATGGTGTCACATGCCTGTAGTCCCAGCTACTCAGGAGGCTGAAGTGGGAGGATCGTTTGAAACCAGGAAGTTGAGGCTGCAGTGAGCCATGAACGTGCCACTGCACTGCAGCCTGGGTGACAGAGTAAGCCTCTGTCTCAAAAAAAGAAAAGAAAAAAGAAAGTAAGTAATACAGAGTTTAACCCAAACAAGTTATAATAAAAAAATTCAACTAAGTTTCCCTTCTTATTTACTCAAAATTTCTTGAGAAAAAGAAACAAGATAACAAAGAAAAAAACAAGGACTCCTTTGCTGTCTGCTAGGCATTTTTCAGTGAAGCTGCTTCTCAGCAAATAACACCCACTCACTCACTCAAGAAATTTTCATCATAAAGCAGAAGTGGGAAGAAATCAGCCCTCAGGTGTTTGGGCTGCACTACAGCTGCTGATCAGCTGCCTTTAGTGACTCAAGCCAAGTTATAAACAAAGGGTGAACCTCAATGTCTGTGCAGGACTCAACTTGATAGGAAATCAAGGGAATTCAAAAACAGTCATCCAACATTACATGGTTTGGCCCTTTGTTTTTCAGAAAGCTGTACTTTTTCACAATCTTTGCCTGGAACTATTGGCTATATCCCTTCCTGTAGATTCTGTTAAAAGTCTCTGAATGTCACCCTGAGGGTTAATTTGTTCCACAAGAACAAGGAAAATAATGTTAGACCTCATCAGGATGCCTGGATTCTAGTCCAGCTTTACTCGTTAGGAGAGTGATCCGTGAATTAGTGATCAAAATATTTTTGAGTCTTAGTGTCTTTATCTCTAACTACTTCAGTCAGGGTCAGATAAATTAACGAATGCAAAAATGTCCACTGAACATTCTAAAATTCTATATGATATGGTTTGGCTGTGTGTCCTCACCCAAATCTTATGTTGAATTATGACCTTTAGTGTTGGAGGAGTCTGGTGGGAGGTGACTGGATCATGGTGTGATTGGATCAGATTTCTTTTTCTTTTTCTTTTTGAGATGGAGTCTTGCTGTGTCACCCAGGCTGAAGTGCAGTGGCTCAATCTTGGCTCACTGCAACCTCCGCCTTCCAGGTTCAAGCAATTCTCCCTGCCTCGGCCTCTCGAGTAGCTGGGATTATAGGTGCCTGTCACCACACCCGGCTAATTTTTGTATTTTTTAGTAGAGATGAGGTTTTGCCATGTTGGCCAGGCTGGTCTTGAACTCCTGACCTCAGGTGATCCGCCTGCCTCAGCCTCCCAAAGTGCTGGGATTATTGGCATGAGCCACCACGGCCCAGCCTGAATCAGATTTCCCCCTTGCTGTTCTTGTGATAGTGAGTTCTCAAGAGTTCTGGTTGTTTAAAAGTGTGTAGCACTTCCCCTTTCGCACTCTCTTGCTGCACCGTGTGAAGATTATGCCTGCTTCCCCTTCACCCTTCTGTCATGATTGTAAGTTTCCTGAGGACTCCTCAGCCATCCCTCCTGTAAATTGGGTCAACTGTGAGTCAACTAAACACCTTTTCTTTATAAATTACCCAGTCCCAGGTAGTTCTTTATAAGTAGTGTGAGAACAGACTAATACACTATATAAATGTAAAATACTATTGTTACTTTTTCACTTTGGAATCATCATTATTAAAACAGTCTTGATAGGGTGATCTTGGCTCACTGCAGCCTCCACCTCCTGGGTTCAAGCGATTCCCCTGCCTCAGCCTCCCGAGTAGCTGGGACTACAGGCACGTGCCATCATGCCCGGCTAGTTTTTGTATTTTTAGTAGAGATAAGGTTTCACCATGTTGGCCAGGATGGTCTCAATCTCTTGAGATCCACCCGCCTCAGCTTCCCAAAGTGCTGGGATTACAGGCATGAGCCACCACGCCCGGCCATCCTTAACTGGAATATTTCTATTTCAAAAAGAAATTTTATAATTAAATAAAGTTCATGCTATTCCCTCCCCCTGGAAAAACCTTTTTGTTTTCACCTGGCAAAATTCTAACCATCCTTCAAATTCCAGTTATCCTGCAACCTGCCCAGTGAACCCTTTCTAGACTTGTTTAAGAGAGTTGCCATTCCCTCCTGTGGATCTCCACTCCCCTTTGCACATATCTTTTATACTTACCAATTTAGGGTTAACATATATGTTATGATGGGAAAATATTATATATGGAACAGCTGCCCCAGGATTCCTGGGGGTGAAAGGAGTAGGAGGGTTTGAAGGGGAGACCTTGAGAAGTCTGAGGGCAGGTAGAACTGCCACCAAACAAAGACTGGAGTTTGTAGTAAAGGTTTCTCCAGAGAAACGAGGCAAGTAAAGGAGATACTTTTAAATAAGAAAGCATATATGATGCTCTTCAAATCACATTACTGAGCACTGTTCCTATATAATCTTGCCTGGAATCCTCTAGCTCTTCTATAGGGATAAATTAGGATGCTGAGGACAAAATACTTTACTACTATTATTATTATTTTGAGACAGAGTTTTGCTTGTCACCCAGGCTGGAGTACAATGGCACGATCTTGGCTCATTGCAACCTCTCCCTCCCAGATTCAAGCGATTCTTGTGCCTCAGCCTCCCGAGTAGC